ATTTTTTTCAGTGACTAATTTTTAAATTCCAAGATGTCTAACTACTAATACCATCCTAGATTTAGTATTCCATTTGTAGGAATGGATACTAGAGAGAGATGGAAGGCAATGGAAGCTGCTAACCAACTAGGGGCCAATGGTCATTTCTTCATCTCTACTATAGAAAGATAAGCATGATGTAAGTAATAATAAGTAGACAGAGAAGGAAGAGAGAAACAGAGAATTAAATCTTTATAATATCAATAATGATAAATTTGAAATCTTCTTAAACAATAGAGTTCTATTTTCTTTCCACACTCCTAATGTTTATATGAAACATTAAAGATCATATAATGATATCATACATACCTATCTTTCTTATTCTTCACAACAGTACAAATAATTTTATTTTCATTTTACAGTAGAGACTTGCAAATATTATTTTTCTAAAGTCACACAGATATGACTGAGCTAGAACTAGGATTCAGATCTCCTGAAGGCCAATATAAAATGCATGAATTTCACCTTATATGGAGGTATTATACATAGATAATCACAGTATACTTAAATATTTGAGTATTAAAATAATGATAACTTATATCATTCTTCCTTAATTTAAGTTGTTCCTAATTTCAAATACCTGAAACTTGCCATTGAAGAAATCCTATAAGACATTACTGGCCTACATTTTTTAATAAATCTCATTTTATAAAAAAAGTATAATATATTTCAGCAATTTTTTTACTATTTTGGAAGACATATATTACTAATTTAAGACCAGAGAAGAAAATTATACCCTTAGTTGTTTTTGTAAGTGTGATCCTATCCGTTAATAAAAAGCCAAGTTCCTAAGACTACTAATTGCTGCTAGTCTTTTCCTATGCACATTGGTAATTAAGACATATATCAAAGAAAATGCAGAAACCAAAATTAGGGAAGAAAATAAAACTTTCCATTGTAATTGCTTCTGGATTATAAACTCTCCATTTAATCATATTTCAGTACTGACATGAAAGAAATAGTTGAGAAAATTTCACAAGTCATGTGCTGTTTCTACCTAACATGATAGCCTTTCTAGTTTTTCTCTAAGTTTCCCACCTCCTTAAGCCAACAGTATCTTTCTAAATTTAGAGAAATCATCCAAACTTATTAAGGTCTATGTTTTTTTTCAAGCTATATATGGATAGTATAAAAATATATACATATTAGCAAAAGCATCTGTTTGACTATAAAAATGTAACTGTGTGAACGTAAAGAGTATTCTTTTGTGTATTATGGCACTGCATTCTAAAAACAAACTGACATCTCAGTTTATTTTACTTACACAATAAGTTTAATTTACATAGAAATGATAGAGCATTTCAGGAGCAAGTCTTAAAAACAATTTCTGCTGAATGACTGCTATAATAATCTCCTTAAGAAAGAAATAAACATAAACTAAAACAACAGTTGTGAAACATATATAGTAGCTCTCAACTAAAGACAAAACTCGATATTCAGTAGGAAAATGCTAAAAAAAAAACAGAAGGGATTTTCATTTAGATTGCTGGCTGAAGTCAAAATGTGTTTCCTTAAACCTTCAATCTTAAGCATATCAAGAGCTGTTTATTAGGGTAGGCTCTCAGGCAGTAAACACAGATTTCCACCATCTTCTGAATCCTCCCCTATGACCACCAATGAGAAGAGAACAGAGTTTCACAGTGCTTCTATGTTCAGGACTTGGTAAGGTTCTTTCCACAGGTTCTTGCTTAATGGAACGAGAGACCTTATTGGTAACATAAAGCACTGACTTATCTCCAGTACAAAGGGTTATTTGTTTTTGAGGAACTGTGGACAGTTATACAAGAACTTATGTTTTTCTGAATTATAATGACAAAAGTCTGAAGTTTGACTATGAAGATTAAAATTTATTTATTTATATATTATGCCATATATACATATAGTCTATTTTTATCAAATATTGTGAACTAGATCTCAAATAGAAATTGAAATCATTAAAAATTATTTAGCTTTACAAACAGGACAATTATTATAATTTTCCTTTCTTCCAATAAGAAAATATACACCTTTATGTTTAAATTCCTAACATTAAGAAATTCTCTAAAATGCATAGATCCAAAGTTTATACTAAACAGTTTATATATTTGTATCACATTTATTGTTCAACAAATATAGTGAAAACTCAGTCTCCCCCAAATTGCTTAAAAAACATGCATTAAAAATAATGTAATGCGAGGTGGTAAGTAGCATAAGAGAAATACAGTAAACTCATGCCTTTAGTTTATTAACATTTTCTTTTTTTTACTCTAATTTCTTATTTACTTTTAAGTCTTGCTAAATGGCATTCATGTTTAATGTCATCTTAAATCATTTTTTGTATTAGACAAGATAGAAAGAAATATAGAATGGGAAGAAGGGAAATGAGAAGAAAAAGATTGTAGCAGAGGAAATGAGGGAATTATTCCAAAAGGAGGAGACATCTGAGTTAAAGCCAGAAGGCAGGTAGAGATGGGTTATTGTGACAAGAGAGGAAGTGCATTTCAAAGGGAGGAAACAGTGTAAAAGTAGAAGGTGTAAATAAAGAATAGTAAATTGGTTAAATTTAACTTGAAGGCATGGCTCAGAAATAGAAATTAAGGAATATTAATAAAAAGGCCCATAGATGCATTATCCTACTATCATAAACTCCAAATAAACTAATTCATTATAATGAAAACTATGTCATTATTGACATATCACTAGAACTTGTACAACTCACTTTTAATGATGTAGGAAATGGAAATTAATTAATAATCCTCAACAGTGAAATTAACAATTAAAACAAGTATTCTAAACATGATATGAGAAACAAGATGGTATGAAACAAATACTGCAACAACCAGATTTTCCCTCTCCAACCCCTGGGTCTTTTGTTGTGCTGAGTTTTATATTAGGAAAGTTAGTTTATTTTTGATGGATGTATTAGGGAAGAAAAGGGAATGGTAGTGAAAGCTGAGGGCTTCACTGATCTAAATTTAAGAAACACTGCATTAAAAGTTAAATGCTATGATTTTGGATGATCACTTAGGTTTAACTTGATCATAAACACAAATGTGAATGCAAGCACAGGTGTTAGTAATATAGATAATACTAAATAATACGCTCTCTCCATATAAATAATCAACAAAGTAAAAATTGAAAACATTTTGATTCTTGTGGACTGAGGTCCAGTAAGAATAAATCTGTGACCCTCCATATATCCAAAGAATTAGGTATAAGATCCTACAAGAAATAAATCATTTTCACATGGAATGATCTCCTAAGACATACTAGCTGGATATAGATGACGCTGGAGGATACAAGTTGATAGTATAAAAGATGCAGATGCCAAAAAGGACAAAATTAAGTTTGGAGAATAGCAACCTGTCCGTGTAAGCTGGTGTACATGGCTTATGGAAAAGAGTAAAACGTGAGCCCCACTTAAAAACAAAGAAAAGATACTAACTCCTCTCTAAGGCCATTATGATATAGTCATTCTATAATTAGAACATTACCAGTTTGCAGAATATAATTCAAGCGGAGATAGGAAAGTTTTTTTGTTTGTTTTTTTAACGTGCAACAAATTATTCAGGGCATTAAATATATTTAAGTTATCAATACTGGAGAGCAGTATCAAGAAATGAGAAGGGTTTTTAACAGTCAGATTGTGCACTGCTTGCAAGCTAACAAGTTAGCCCGCACAGTTTCATGTATGCTTCCAGGAGACACTAGATTCCTGGTCAGAAACAAATGACTTTATCCTAACCAGGGTACAGCAGGCATCATGAGCTTCATGTTTTCATCTGTTCCTCCTGACCCTCAAATCCCAAAGAGGCAGTAAAGATGGGCCCAGGTAGATGTTGAGCATGCAGTAGGATTGTATCACAATTGAGGAACCTCAAATTAGGAAATCCAATCTTATAAGGGGACTGCTAGAAAACCTGCTTTCCTTTGCCATCAGTGGGGAAGCGAGGACTATTATCTTTATTATGTTGGACAGCAAGTAAATCTGTTGGAGGGAGACATAATCTCTGTCTTAGAAGCCTGTTTCCTATACAAATTTCCTTGAAGAAATAGTCCAGAACACAAGCTGTCAAAGCCTTTGCTCAGAAACACACAGAAATGCAAGAGATCCAAGAACTGTCTCCCAGCAAATTATATATTGTTTATGCTATTATTTATGTTAGCATATATTCTTTATGCAAGTATCTAACTAAGTAGTTCATTTTTACTACTTTAATAAAAATTCAAAAAGGAATATAGAAATTTCAACTTATTCTTGGAAAAGTAAAGTACCTGTCTAGTTATCACACTAAGCAAATGTGTCCATATGTATTTTATTAAAAATAAAGACTTAATATAACACAGAATGAGTAAAACTTTTGGCTTTATCAAAACATTCACCTAGATGACAAATGACATTTTCAAAGGTTCCTGTAAGTGGTACCATGTGAAAGTATCTAATGTTTGCAAGGCCTAATCCTTTATCAAGTCAAAGGTAAGTAGGTTAGTTTCAACTTATTAGCTAAATATCAATCTTTTTCATGTAAATATACACTTAAAAGAACCCTTATTCCTCCTGGCACAGTGGGGGATTCAACCTCTTAAAAACATTTTTAAAACTTTAATTAAAATTTGGCATGAATTTATATCCCTATGGAATGACTCAATACAAAATATTAAGGTCATGGGAAGGATATATTTGTCCCCAAACAGAAACTTTTTGTTTTGTTTTGCTGGTGGTGAAGGAAAGGTGCTTGCTGCCTGAGGAGATGGCAGACTATTGTCTCAAAGACCACCTCACCTCTGTAAAAACAGAAACTTTTAAACCGAGAATATGTTTCTAACATAACCACTAAAAATAATCAAACAAAACAAAAAGCAAAAACCTTTTTTAACTCTTTTTTTGTAGAAAGAGTGCATGAACCACTGCATCTTCAAAACCTTTATTCCGAGTATTTAAAATTGGGAAAAACAAAGTTAAAGAAGTATACGTGACATACCTCTCCTAGAGCCTCGTATCTTTTCTGGTTCCATCTGTGCAAGTCTTCCCGGTAGTTAAAAACAAATGGTTCCCCAGTTTTTATGTGTCTTAACTGCCCCTCTAAGAAGATAAACAAACAGTATTGCTGTAATTCAGAGTACATTTACAATAATATAAACAGTACAACCAATGATGTCTGATAAGAATTTAAAATAACTTTCTCAGAACAGTTTATTTGTTTAGATTTTTTTCCCTTCAAATGCCGGTATGATGCAAACATACAAATATTATAAAAGAATGATCCCTAAGTACTCAACGGCTATTCTTCTTGATCTTCATCTCTCTAAAGCAAACTAACAATATTTTAAGGCCTACTATGTATAAAGATCTCTACTAGCTATTTTCACGAACATGGTCATAGTATTCAAGAAGCTGAGGGGCTAGCTGAGGTAAAAAAAAGTATAAATATTAAGAAGTTAAGCAATTTCAGGAAGTTAACAAAAACAAGACTGATGTAGGTTAACAATCTAAAAGCTGTCACAGTCCATCCACGTAGACAATAAAGTCTAGAATGATTTTAAAAAAATGAAAAATCCCTAATGGCTAGAATAAGTTCAGAAGGTTACAGTGAGATTTCTCAAGGTAGGTCTTGAAATATGGGTAGGATATATAGCAATTGGAGAAAGGCAGTAAGCTAACAAAGGTTTGGACTGTTAAATCAGACTCATAAAATCAGAGATCCTCACTGATACTGAGTAAGTTTTACTAATAATTCCAAGGATACAGGCAATTAAGCAGCATAGGCAAAGCAGGGAGAGGTCTGGAACATCCTGGCATTTCCTCCAGGTCCTTTCCTCTCACTGAACAGCTCTTTCTGGCTCAGAGTAGGTGAGGTCTCTCAAGGAGGCATACAGATGCCCCACGCACTGGTGACCATTTGGGTCAAAAATATTTCCATGTCATGTGAGAAAGAGTTGTATTGCACATGTGATATTCTTTAGAGAAATATTTCTCATATATCCAAAGGACTGTACATTTTTTTACCATGAGCAATGCTAAACAAGTTATCCTGCTCAAAGTATTCCATAGATAAGGACCTTTCCTCATAGCAAATATTATTCTTATTTACTAAATCAGTTAATTATCACCATATTTACAAGGAGAAAAGACCAAGCCACCTGTCCTCAAGACAGGACTCCTTCTCCAGGGGTATTGGAGAGAAATAGAGCACAGACCTATTCTTTTAACCCCTCTTCTCCTCCAGGCAAAAAATATTACTACTTGAACACACACTGGCATTAAATATCCTTTATTTAAAAAATGACATAGATTTCAGTTTCTTGAGCAAAAATAAAAGGGAAAAATTAATGTAAAAGACCCAAGTTTCTAGGATCTTCTGTTTAAACTCACCTAAAATCCTAGTACACAGACTAATACCTGTATTAGGAATACTGTATAATTTCTAATACCTGTAACTGATGTTGTAAATGGATATCCACTAATACAATGATGATACAGAACCAATTCAGTTGATGCAGCAACACACAGAAAACTTCAACAAATGCTACCTATCCTGTAATACAACTACCCTTCAAGTTTAACAGTGTGTTAATAATTCAATGAATCCTGACTCTTCATTCCAGAAACATCCTTGCAATCTAAGTATGTTCCTCTACATCCCAAGTATAAAGATTATTTTATTCAAAATCTAATTAATAAATTTTAAAATAAGGATTTTACCTGAAAAATCATGGAAAAATGCTTTAAAATATTGTCACAGATAATTATTGTCAGTCACTTCATTTTAAATAACGTGTGAAACACTAGCATCTTTCTATATAATTTAATTAGGAGTTCCAATTGGATACCAGGGAGTTGAATGCTCAAGGTTGAAATGCATATGCTGAATCAAATTCCTGTCCATTAGTTTGCCTGACTTGACAACTATGGGAAATTGTTACTTGGTGACACTTCACTCAAGTGAAGGACTTCACCATGCAAGGCTAAGTCATTTATTTCTCAAAAGAAATACATAAAACATTCTATCTGGCCTTGAAAAGTAGCAAATAATATCGGTCTTATAATTACCATTGTTAAATAAATTTTGCATATGGCATACACCACTTACTTTCATTAAAAGCATATTCAAATCCTTCCAGGGTATCAGGAAAATCAAGAGGTGGTTCATCTTTTTTCATTAGTTCATCCAAATCTATCCTAGATAATAAATCTAGAAAAGAATGAAATAAAAATTACTTATATTCATTTTCATAGTTAATAAAAATTATATTTTAAATTATTTTTAATATTCTTGTCTTAGACTAATTTTTATGTGTTGTTTTAACTGATAATATATTATTAAATTTTTAAGTTCTCAAAATGCTATATTATGATCCAGTACAATATCAACATAAGCACTTTCAAAATCATAATTCTCAAAACAATCACAACTCAGATTCTATTAGCCACTCTTTAACTTCCTCCCTTCAAAATAGACAGCTATTAATTTATACCTTATTAATCTTATTTTTTAGTTTAAAAGTTTCAGATATTAATATGACTTTTAAAAAGTCATTAAATCTTACATATAAATGAAACTTATTTATGAATAAGAGAACTTATTATACATCTAAACAATGTTAACATAACATATTATTCCATTTTTAGGGATAAATATGTTAAAAGATACCACAGGGAAGAGTTGAAAAGGGATGGTGTTTTAGATTTCTACATATTAGCAAGTTGTATTTTAAATTGTTTTAATAAAAGTTTGACATATCATTAAAAAATAAATAAAACATGTTAACTAGTGAAAATTGGTTGATACAAAGCAGTTTCTATTCTTCACATCATTTGATTCCACACAATTAAAAAATTCTGTCAACCTGTTTTTCTATAATAACCATTTTATTTTAGAATAATTTTAGATTTCTGGAAAAGTTGAAAGATAGTACAGAGTATGTTATAATCCTCATTCATTTTCCCTATTGAAAACAGTTTATATCACCATGGTACATTTGTCAAAATGAAGAAGCCAACGTTGGTATGTTGCTACTAACCAAAGCCCAGACATTATTCACATTTCACCAGTTTTTCCATCAATATTTATTTTCTGTTCCAGGATTCCATCCAGGATACTACAGTGCATAATCTGTTCTTTGGAAATGACTATGTCTGGCCCACTCTCAAGGAGAAAGGGGAGGAATTATGCTGAAGTAAAGAACATCTACAAATATTAATATTATTTGTAATACTTCTGTGTGGAAGATTTAAATCTCTTCCTCAATTTACACAATTATTCAATCACTTTTTTACATCAGTATGGACCCATGGATATTTACTGTATACTTTGAGTTACAATCCAATACTACATCATTTTTTTTTTCAAATTGTTCCAGCGATGGCCACTGTAAGCTCTTTCAGTTGACTACTGTATATATCTCTTTAACATGCTCTTATCTTTTTTCTTTCTGATCATTTCCTTACTTTCTATTCCTACAAGATGTTCCAGGTTCATCATATATCTTTCCAGCCACAACACTAGAATCAGTCTATCAGAAGTATTTAATGATATCTTTTAGGCTCATATTATAGGATAAGGCTAAAGTTCTTACTATATGTCATCATAGTGTCATTTCTAAAATGAGAATAAAAAGATAAACTTCAAATTTACATAATTTCAAAAAGATATGAAATCATCTTTGTCAAATCAAGAAAAAAGAAAGAATAGGTTTTGAGTTTCTTCATTCTAACTCAAGTTCCTGAAGACAAAAGCTCCAAGAATAAGTTGTAAGGCAAAGCAGTCCCTTTCCTACAAAAGAAGTATCTCAGAAATAACACTTTATTCCTGTTTCTCACAGAGACATAACAAATCCTTTGTACAGAACATCATCAAAATTTCTGGAGAGAAAAGTATTTTGTCTGCCCCCAGTCTCACCTCTCTCTGTAGGGTACAAAGACAAGCCATTGAAAAACATAATTAAAAAATCATTGTTTAGTAGTTGTCTTTAAACTCTTATATAAAACTCAACTCATACAAAAATACACCATTTTCAACATAAAAAATGTTTACAAACTCTAGTGAAACAGAAATTTCACATAATATACATATTGGGCTTACAAAGGGACATATGCTGACAATTCCTCATTCATTAGTAAAGTTCTGACCACGTTGTAAATATTCCCCAAATAGAGTAAAGACAAGTTTTTTAGTATCAAAAATTGGCTTGCAGTAGCTGTAAGATTATCACTTTTCCTTCCAATGAATTGAGGTTCAGAGACAAAATTAGATTTCTTCACTTCACAGTCATCTTCTACAATTCAAAACTTACAATCCTTTTAAGCAGACACACAGAAACCATCTAATACATAAGCAGATGCGTTGTGTCCAGTAGCCATTTTCTGTTTCTACCTAGACCATAAAATGCAGCCTTAAATCTATACATCACTTTCATATACATTACCTCATTTGATCATCATATCCTAGAAAATCCTAGGAAACTGCAACACGTTTTCATCTTGACTGTCTTTCAGACAAGGAAATGAGCTCAGAGAGTTAAAATACCTTGTCCAAAATTATGGCTTAATAGTAAGTGGGATTAACAAAATTAACAAATCTCTCAAAACTGAACTCAGTGTGCTTTCAAAATCACCATATTCATTTTATATGCCATATCAACTCTAATATTCTTTCCTTCTTTTATTCCTTTTATAAATTATAAATAGTTATGAACAAAAAAATGTTCAAAATGTTCCCAAGAAAGATAAAAAAAAGATATTCTTCAAATTTTTCCTCTGTCAACTAGACAACTTGATATAGATTTTTAAAAATTTCATTAGCATTGAGAAGATATATAGAAAAAACCGTCAGAAATTATTTTTCTGCTTCGTAAAAGAAAAGCAATACAATAAAGTTGTATTTTACTCTGAGATTGGGTTCCAAAGGCAGTAGATTATGCAAAAATCAAGTATAATAAAAACATTTCCATTAACAATCCCTTCAATCACCTATAAAATGTAATACACTTAAAGCCATATAACTTAAATATGCATCAGATGTGACAACTATTTTTTCTAAAGCATGGGTCTTGTGATTAAAGTGATTCAGCAACTAGAATTCTAAACCTCAAGGAAGCATATGCAACAACTGTATAAAAATATCATTTCATATGCAAAAGAACTGAAAGCAGGGACTCAAACAGATACGTGTATATTAGTGCTCACAGTGGCACTATTCACAATAGCCAAAAGGAAGCAATTCAAGTGAACATTGATAGATGAATGGCATAACAGTTAATTTTATGCATAAATTTGATGGGGACACAGGGTACCATATATTTAGGTAAACATTCTGGATGTATCTGTGGGGATGAAACTAATATTTGAATGGATAGACTGAGTAAAGCAAATTCCCTCCCTAATATGTGTGGGCCTCATCCAACCAGATAAAGCCCCGAATAGAACAAAAGAGCTGAGTAAATGAGAATTTGCTCTCTCTGCCTATCTTCGAGCTGGGACATCGGTCTTCTTCTGCCTTGGACTAGAACTTACACCATCAGCTCTCCTGCATCTCATGTCTTTGGACCTGGAACTATACTAATATTATTCATCCTTACAAAGGAAGGATATTCCAACACAACACAGATGTACTTCGAAGACATTATACAAAATTTCTGTCGCAGAAGGACAAATATTGTATGATTCTGCATATAGCTAGAATAATCAAATTTATATAGAGAGAAAGTAGAATGGTGGTTGCCAGGGGATAGGGAGTTATTATTTAATGGGTATAAAGTTTCAGTTTTACAAGGTGAGAAGAGTTCTAGAGATGGATGGTGGTAGTAATGGCATAACAATGTGAATGTACTTAACACTGAAGTGTGCATTTAAAAATGCTTAGAATGGTAAATTTTATATTATGTTTATTTCATCACAAAAGAAAATAGCATTTGACATATTTATTTATTAAAACGTTATTAGCTAAATGAGTGCTTAAAACATTACTGGAAGTCTACTTCCGGCCAAAATAGAATAACAAGAACTGAATTCTTCTCACTCTCCTTAAACAACTAGAAAGCAGAACAATTCATGTGTGAAAGAACGGTTTTCAGAAGTTGGACAACAGGCAGCCAGAACTGTCTTCAATAAGAGAAAAGAAACAAAAATGAACCCTTTGCCTAGCTTACTGCCTATAATCAGTTTAAGGTCCAGCAGGAAGGAGAACTCAAACAAACAATGAGGATGCTGCAGAGTTGAAAAGACAGAAATCAGAATTTGAATAACCCAAGGTGGCTAGATTTGGGAGCAGAGAATAGGAGCAGAGGAAACTGTTGAGAGAGAGTTTGCTGAGCACCGTTTCAGAGGGTGTCTTTGAGTATTTATCCATGCACATAGGAGAAAAAAATTACCCAAGGACAGGGAAAGCAGCAAGCTGAACAATTCCTGAAGTACACACAGAACTACAAATATGTATGCCCATCAGTCAGAATAGAAAGACCTTATAATACATGAGACATCAGATAGAGTTGTCAAAAGAATACCACCTTAGTAGTGGACTGAATTAGCCCTAGTAAAAAGGCTACTCTAAAACTGGCATATTGATGCAGAAAATGTCTGGCGCTGGGACGCAGACACTTGCCGCCTCCCTGTAGCTCCGCATCTCCCAGGGCCAGTGCTGCCAGTGGCCAGTTGAAGGGCATGCTGCTGGGACTGGCCCCACGGCACAGAGTCGCCTGGCGCCCCCGTGTGCCGGAATGCCCCCAGGCCCATGTGCCACTGCCTATTTCCGGCCACGCTTCTTGTGTGATCCTGATTGGGTAATTTTTGAATCCCACTATTTTTGATTGGATATTAAAGCTTGTTGTTGATTGGACGTTTCTTGAGCCCTACCAAGGGTATAAAAGTAGGGGCAGAAGGCCAAGAAAGGAGCAGAACATCAGAAGACACAAAGAGAGCTATAACACTAGGTGTGCTGAGCCTGCTGTAGAAGAATAAAGGCTGTTCTCCGACTCTTCATGTGCCTCTCAGTTCTTTCCCCGGTCAAATGGATAAGAGCTGTAATGAGCTGTAACGCTAGCTGTACACATTGCCGCAACAATATCAAAGTTTAAAAAATTTTTCCTTGAAGAAACAATAACAAAAGATATAAATACCTACCAGAACAAAGCCCAACATCTTTTAAGAGAATACCAAAAACCAAAACAAAACAAAAATCAGAAACCAAATAATTATTTCTGTTATTTAAAAAAGTTTTTTTATTTTTAATTATTATGGGTACATAATAGTTGTATATCTTTACAGGGTACATATCATGTTTTGATACAGGCATATAAGATGGATTAATCAAATCAGGATAACTGGGGTATCCATCACCCTAGGCATTTAACATTTCTTTGTGTTAGGAACATTCCAATTCCACTCTTTTAGTTAAAATATACCCTAACTTATGGATGATTATAGTCACATTCAAACTTCAAAGCTTCCCACAAATAGAAAAAAGAAAGAAAAAAAAACACAAAAAATCCAGCTCCAGACGGCTTCATTGATTAATTTGACCCAACAGTTAAAAAAGAAAAAATATCATTTCTACATAAACTCTTCCAAAAAATAAAACGGCAGGACTTCCCAACTCATTTCAGGAAGCCAGTATTATCCTGATATCAAAACCAGACACAAATTTTATTAAAAAAAATTATAAAATACCTTGCAAATATAGACACAAAAATCTTCAACAAAAATCTAACAAATAAGAATCCAGCAATATATAAGGAAATACACCTTGCAGTGCAAGGCTGGCTTAACATTTGAAAATCATTCAATGTAATTCCCTAAAGCCTGGATTCCATGTTTTAGGATCCCACCTGCAGACTAGATTCAGGTTGGCTCCAATATGTTTCTCACCCTCTTTTGACTAGTGGCTACCTCAGGTATGTTCTTTTAATGGAGAATGGCAGGAGCTCAACAGTAGATAAGCCAGACCACACAAACACAGTGTAAGGCTCTGCTTGCCTTACTTCCACTAAGCACTCATCAATGAAGCTGGGAAATACACTCGTCTCCCAAAAGCAGAGAACAGTATTCACTGAACAATAATCAAGGCTATCACAAATAATTATAATAATTCAACATTAATGTCCATTAATATCCAGAAGAATTTTTAAAAAGGCATTATGGCAAAGTGGGTAGTGGGGTAGGAAGGTAGAAAATAAAAACTAATCCACATGACCTAAGATGACTATAGAACATCTTTCCAGAAACCCAGGAAAAATGGGTTCAACAAATCAATAAGAGATAGTAGACAAGCTAAAAAACCCCATAAAACAGGCAAAGGGAAAAAGTGATCTTTTTAAGAAATGGAAGATTCCTTACAGGCTATCTTCATTGTCATCTCCAAAGAAGATGACATAATTGTCTGATGTGTAACATGCCTGCCTTTAATAATAGTCATCATCCACCTCCTCCTCACCATCTTCATTATCACATTATAGTAAGCTAATTTGAACTACTTTCTTCCAGAGTGCACTGCTTTCACCCTGCTCGTCTTGAGTTTTATCTGACATTTTTCTGCCCACTGATATAATCTTAAGAGATTTTCCACTATTTATGTCTCTATCTGAAGCACTTTTCTATTCATGAAAAATTAAATCACCTTCAAGTGTGTAGTCTTGCCACGTAAACCCGAAACACTCTAATGAATGGCAGTCACTAATCATCATCAGTTCATTGTTTTATGCATCATAGCCCAGTGTTGAAGAAACTCAAGAATAAAACTGCTTCTCTGTTTTAGGGATAAAGTTTTATTCAATTTGCTTATTTATTCTAAAATATAATTTACTATGCATTTGCCATTTTATTTTCTAATATTTCCAATTTGACTCCTTCATTAATCCTTACAACCCCATGTCTACTCAACATTATTATTTCTAGTGTACAGATGAAGAAAAAGATTTAGAGAAGTTAAGCAACTCACCAATGCTAAGAGGAAAACCCTGAGTTTGAATCCCAGATAGTTCTATCTCTAGAACCTATCAATAGTCTTTTGATACCACTGTTCCACCTCTAAAATCTAGAAAATCAATCTCAATTTATATACTGCTAGCAGGGGTATAAATTAGAACTACAACTTAGGAGATCAAATTTTTACATTATCAAATGAAGTTTGAGATGCACAAACCCCAGCACATCTATTTGGAAAGTAACTCTCACACATATTCCTTGTCCTCACTTCTAAATCATCCATTATTCTGAGTGTGCTGGATCATTCTCAGCAACATACAAATGTGGTAAAATCTTGTATAGGGTTATCTATGCTGACTCCAATGCCTCTCCTCCCATTCTCTATTCCAAGTTCTCCAATCAGGGTTTCATTCACTGAAACAGCTCTTTGTGAAGGTAACCAATGACTTCCACATTGCCAAATCTAAAAGTAAATTCTCAGTCCTCATCTAATCTGACCCATCACTAGCATATGACTTAATCAATGACTCCCTTTTTATTTAATTTTTTTATGTTTGGTGTTCAGAATCTCTCTCTCTCTTGCTCCTGATTCTCAGCCTATCTTACTAGAAATTCTGTTTCAGACTCTTTTGCTGGTATCTCCTCATCTTCCTGACCGTAAAAGTCTAGGTGCCCAGGGCTCAATCTTCAGATCTCTCCTCTTTTCTAGCTTCACTGACATCTCAGGTGATCTCAATTAGAATCATGACTTTAAGTATTATCTCAATGTTAATGATTCCCCAAAATTTTATCCCCAGCCCAAACTCTAGACTCAACTTCTCCATTTAGATGTTTAAGTGGTATCTCAACCTGATATGTCTAAATTCTAACTCTTGCTTTTCACCACCACCCCCACCCCCAACCTGATTTTCCCAATATTTTCTCAATCTAATTAATGATGCTTGAAGCTATTTCTGTTAAGAATCTTCATTATCTCAGTTTCTTCTCTAATATTCCATGTCCAATACATCTGCAGATATGTCATCTCCTCCTTCAAAACATATCCAGAATCTGTCCCGTCTTCATTATCCCCTTGCTACCAAGCTAATCCAAGCTATCATCACCTCTCAAATTTGTGAAGAGACTTGTTCCAGATTAACATCTAAAGAAAGCAACACTGTTACTCATTTTCCATTTTTGTAGGTGAGGGCTAGTTATACCATTCCCTCAATAGATCATTACATCTAAAAGCAGGAATGAGGTGACACAAATTGAGACAAGAAAGTAGTTGCTTTATCCTGTATCTACTTAAGGCTTTCACCATAAGCATTAAAAGACAGTAGGGGAGATTCTTGAGGCATCTTTATTATCCAGCCTGGAACACAAGGTAGGACAGAAGTCAGGAATTCGGAGAAGTAGCCATAGCCATGACTACATGGTACATATTCAGCTGAGGTATTTATTACAAAGTATATCTAGGAACTCCTGAAGACCAAATAGACTCTATATTGAATTTAATAAAAGGAAACCCTATGACCCGGCATAGCTGGTGCAATGGTTTGCATGTTTGACATTGAAATTTTGTTGCCATTGTAACAGTGTTGAAAGGTGGAACCTTTAAGACTTGATTGGGACATGAGGGCTCTGCCTTCATGAGTGGGATTACTGTCATTATAAAAGAGCAAGTTTGGACACCTTTTGTCACTTGTCTTCCACCATGGGATGATGCAGCAAGAAGGCCCTCTCCAGATGCCAGCACCTTGATATTCGACTCCAGAACTATAAGCCAATAAATTTCTGTTCATTATGAATTGCCTAGCCTGTGGTATTCTGTTATAGCAGCACAAAACGGACTAATACAGTTGGCATCTCAACATTTAGAAAACCCATAAGAAATGTTATCACTATCAAGTAAAATAACTGTGAGATCTTGCACAGGTTACTTAGATAATCTGATCTTCAGCATGTCACTAAACAGATTGAAATATATAACAATGAAGAAACCTTACAGCTCAACAACAGTATCTGTTGACCTCTTTGGGGAGTAAAATTAATTAGATAGCAGATCGTTTTTTAAAAAAGGTCTAGAACTCAAAATTCCCTAACAATGTCTAAGGGAGATTCCTTCTGAAATGTTAATCTGGACAGCATCTCATAAAATATCCCTAGTGCCAATGCCACAAAGACAGAATACAGAAATAGGCAGATCATTATCCTAATCCAGTATGATATTCCAACCAGCAAAAATATGGTAAGGGTACCATACTTGATTCAAAAGACTTATATTAATAGTTTTACCATTAAATGTATGACCTTGAATAAGAAGAGCATCAAGTAGTCTTATACCTATATAATTACACGATTCTATTATTTATTTACTGAGTACATACTGTGTCTCAGACACTGTGATAGGTGCCATGAGGGATACAAATACTTGCAAATAGTTTAGGTACTTATTTTAGAATTGAAATGAATGGAAGATCACTTAAATATTCCTAAACCTTCATTAGGCACAATGAAAATTTCCTGAAAAAGCAAATTAAGTATGTACCTTTCAGTGCTGTAGTCTTTTCTTTTTCATCTGGACCTCCCTGCTGGATTTGTGCCATGTTTATCCAAATTGGCAACAAAATTAAAGAGCTCAAGGAAATAAACATCAATCTTCAGAAGACAGTCTAGAATAAATGAAAGCAATACATTAAGCTCTACTCAAATCCTACCTACTCTGTAAAACTTCCTAGAGCCTTCCAGTCGGAATTAATCTCTCTCTATCCTGATTTCCCACTATACTTTTTTGATACCTATGCCATAATACTTATTATGGTATTGCCTGCTTTGCATTATAGTTATTTATGTATTTATCTGTATTTATAGTTATTTATGTATTTATCTGGGTCAGCTAACAACTTACAAGCCCCAGGAATAGAGGTATCAAGTTTTTGTTATCTTTATATCTCTCATGTCACCAAACACAATATCTTATTCGTACAGACACCTACTTTTTGCTCAAATGAATTTAGAAAAACTTACTGTTTAGTTTTAGTTCCCTATCACCTAAAAATATCTTCAGGTAGTTTCAAAAACTTGAGATTTCTTTTAAAATAAAATGTAAGCGTGTGCCTTTGACAAGGTCAGAATGTCTCCCCTCTGGAATATGCAGATAGTGAGAAGGAAAAAAATACATAAATACATAAAGTATCTACAAATTACCTACAGTATAATTAAAAATACAACTTTAAGGAAAAAATTATCCCCTTTTAAAACGAAACTAAGTCAAATTCAATATCTGGAACCATACTCTATAAATGCCACTCCAGGTAAACAACCAAAACATAAAATTATGATTTATTAAAATCTAATCCTGTTCTAATTAGGCCAAAAGGAAGGCATTAAAACTAAAAGTAAATGGCTTTTCCCAGTGTACCCATGAATAGGTATACTATATGTGGCTATCCAATTTTCCCAGCACCATTTATTGAGTAAAGATTCTTTTCCCCAGTGTATGTTTTTGTCTGCCTTGTCAAAGATTGGATGGCTATATAAGGATGGTTTTATATCTAGGTTCTCAGTTCTGTTCCATTGGTCTATGTCTTTGGTACTGTTCTTTGGCCAGTACCATGCTGTTTTAGTTACTATAGCCTTGTAGTATAGCTTAAAGTCTGATAAATTGATGCTTCCCAATTTTTTCTTTTTGCTTAAGATTGCTTTTGCTATACAGGGTCTTCTCTGGTTCCCTACAAAGCATAGAATTATTTTTTTCTAGGTCTGTGAAAAATGATGTTGGTATTTTACTAGGGATTACATTGAATCTGTAGATCACTTTGGGTAGTATAGACATTTTAATAATGTTGATTCTGCTAACCTATGAGCATGGTGTGGTCTTCTACCTGTCTGTGTTCTCTACTATTTCCTCACTCAGTGTTTCATAGTTCTCCCTGTCTAGGTCTTTTAACTCCTTAGTTAAATATATTCCTAGGTATTTTATTTTCATTGTTGCTATTGTGAAGGGTATTGAGTCTTTGATTTGGTTCTCAGTTTGACTGTTGTTGATGTATAGGGATGCTACTGTTTTGTGTACATTGATTTTGTAACCTGAGAGTTTGCTGAATTTGTTTATCAATTCCAGTAGTCACATAGCAGAATCTTTGAGATTTTCTAGATATAAGATCATAACTCCAGCAAAGAGCGACAGTTTGACTTCTTCTGTCCCCGTTTGGATGCCCTTGATTTCCTTCTCTTGTCTGATTGCTCTGGCATTTATAATTATCTTTAAAAATAAAGGCATTTCCATAATCAGCAGAGTATAGCAGAAAATGTTAAGAAAACTAATACTGAAAATAAATATTTTAAAACTATAAATGTTCCAAATGGTCATAACCAATACTGCCGTTACTCAACTCTAACTGCAGGTATGTGATATAACAAGAAGGGCCCTTTGGCTCCACCAATAACTAGCCACGAGCCCTTGAAAAATTATTTAACTTCTCTGTGCCTCATTTTCCACATTGGTAAAATGGAAATGATAATCATGCTTTCTTCACAGTGTTACAGTGAAGTTAAATGTAAAACACTTAATATAGTGCCTGATCCATAATTAAGTGTTCAAGATATATATTAGCTTATATTTTTTTAATTGTTGTAAATTAATCATAGCTTCACCACTTAATAACAGCTCTGTGGCCTGTGAAAAGTTACTTAATATCCAAAATCTTCAGTTTCCCCATTTATAAAATATAGCTCATACCTCATAAATAGTGGTTGAGAATTAAATATCACAGAAGATGTGCATACCCAATCATTGCTATAGCAATCTTCTTGCTACTCAATGGTGTGAGATTTTCTAAAATGAATATCTAAAATGAATTAATAAATATGAGACTACTTTTTACTAAAAAGTGTTTTTCACTTAGCATGTACGTAGCTGTTATTTTTCTTCTATGAAGAGGTAACTCTACATAAATAAATGTGTCTATATTCCCTCAAGAAACATATCCTGAGTCTACATGGTAGGCAATGTGCAAGGCTCTGGGAGTGCAATGGTGAGTAAAGGTCATTGCCCTCTAGGGGCTTACTTTCTGGTTACCAGATCAAACGGCCAAGCAGCCACAAACAAAATATATCAGACGTAGACTGATAATTGCATCACTATTATATGAAAAAAAATATTTGTAAAGGCCATCTATTTATATTCATGAGTTACTCTGATCTGTCAAGTCTCACAAGTTTGTACACAAGTTTCACCAGCAACTTATACGCCATCCGATAGCAGACATTAAAGAGAAATGTTCATAATGAGAAATTCCACATAGCATCCTTTGCTAACAATTCTACAAATAAATTAACTATCTATAGGGAACTTCCTTTTTTACACTATCCCTCTGCTAACTCAATATTTCTTCTAAACATAAACTCTTAGGTCATTTTTCATTGGCCCCAAATTGTCTGATTCCTAAATAGAAAAATTTATACAATTATTTCACTATGATTGCTTTAACAAAGGTAAAATTATATTTTTGGTGCTAGAATCATTTTTAAAATTCACATTTTAAAGAATCACTTTCAAGATTCCCAGGATTAAATATCAGTTAATGATCTTTATTCTCACTTTATGTGAATCAACCTAAAAATCCACCCACCAATTCGCTGGAGTAATGGTATATAAGAAACTACTAATTATTATACGTGACCTTAAACCTTATAGTGGCAGATGCAAAGCAGGTAAGCATGAAGCAAAAGCAATTTTTCCGTTGCTCTCTTATAGACTGTGTTAGATTTTTTACCCTCTTGAGTTATTTTCCATAGCTATGGCACAGCTGGTGAAGCTAAATCAGGAACATTATAAATTCTCAATTTAGTTTTCCTAATAAAAATTCAGAGTTATAACCTGCATGACCACAGATAAACACGACTGAAAATGCAGCCAGCAAGCTGTTTGGTACATTTGATATATATTAATATGTGCACTCGACATAGTTTATTTGGCATTATCTGATGGAGGTTAGCTTATAGGGAATAAAGTGGCGGAAGGTTTTTACTGATGTGAATTGGGACACAGTTGACATGTTGTATACTTTGTGATAACCACTGCTGTTTAAATATGGTTTCCTAGAAATGGTTACAGTACAAACTAGATTCAAAACATCTCAGTTTGCGATTTCATTCTGTGAACTACACAAAGCAATTATCATATCTCCTTCCTTTCTATAATTCCAACAGAGAATCTACTATGTATAAATAAAGCTATAAATAACTTGTCATGTGTAATCTTTATCCAGTCAGCATTTCAAAACATGAAACAGTAGAATATTTCTTATTTGCCCCGTTTGCTCAAAATATGGCATGAGCCCTTATAAAATGTACAGAAAGATACAAAGAAGCCTTACTTTTCTATATTTGTTTGTTTTTAGGCAGGTATTAAATATGAAAACTAGATATAGGTGATTTTGTAACATAAGATCTTTCCATCTCACATTCTGAATGCACTGATGAAAGTACAATACATTAAGAACAAATAAAATTGGGTTAATTCTCTGAGGCCGCCAGGACTGGTCAGGTTCTAGTCTGGCCCCAAAGAATTTATGTTCACTAAGTCAGGCTCTGGAAATCAAGCTCAAAATAGCCCACTTGCAGCAGAAATTATAGTAAGTGAAATTAGTAAAAGATATTTATGAAGAATCAAAACACACATCCAAATTGTAGCTAAAATACCCATCAGCAAAAGTTACTTCTAATAATACTGGAGAGTATATAATGCTGAGGCCACAGTGAAGAAAATGTATGTTTTAGGGTGTGTGTGTGTGTATGAACAGACATATGGCACAGTAAAAGGCTGAAGAATGAAGGCATCAGGCTGGAGCAGACACAGAAGACAAAGCCCAGGGTAATATGGGCCCCTGGTGCATAGAAAATGGTGGCTTCTATAGTAAACGCAATCACGTTTGGATCAAGACTAGGAATACCTGCTTCCAATTCAAGGCTATCTAAATTAATTCCTTAGTTTCCCAAGCAGCATGATATAGTATATTTGGAATGAGAAATCTAGATCTTAATGTCAGTTCTATCACCTAGTAGCTAAGTGACCTTTAGGAAGTCACAACTTCTCTAACCTAAGTAATGGGAATAATAACAAAAATAAGAGCAGTTATTTCTGCAGGGCTATTATGAAAATTACATGAAAGAACATATATGAGAGCATTTTGCAAACTATAAATTATTTTACAAACATTAGCAATCCACACAAAATCAGAAACAAGTTTCCAATTAATTTGTACTCCAACTACCATATCTAAGGTCAGGATTTGAGATGAGCCTGAGCAAGAGCAAGACCCCATCTCTACCAAAAATAGAAAAAATTAGCCAGGCATGGTGGCATGTGCCTATAGTCCCAGCTACTTGAGAGGCTGAGGCAGGATCACTTGAGCCCAGGAGTTGGAGGTTGCGGTGAGCTGTGATGACGCCACTGCACTCCACCGCAGAGTGACACAATGAGACTGTGTCTCGAAAAAAAAAAAAAAAAAAAAAAGAATTAAAAGAAAAGGAAAAGGGAATCATAATAGAATTTAAATTAATTTTTAATATAATTTATTTTCTTTACATTCCTTTTAAACCTTATTAAAATGTGTGCTTAGACAATGATCAAGCATGTGTGTTCCACCTTCATTTGGATTAAAGTTTT